GCGGCTCTCAAGCCACATGTGGCTCTTTGGCCCCTTGAGTGTTCTAACGCCACTTCTTCAAAACAGACTCGACCCGGCCAAAAACTGACCTCTGTACATGGGCCACGAAATTTCAATCGCACTGTAGTGCACTCCTGCATGTGGTATTTTGTGAGAGAGATACACTCAAGGGGCCAAAGAGGTGCATATGGCTCATGAGCTGCAATGGTGCTCATATGTGCAGGAGTGGTTTCAAGAACATGAGGGAGACTTTGCCTTGCTTAGGTGGCCCCCACAATCACCAGATCTCAATCCAACTGAGCATTTGTGGGACGAAGTTAAAAGAGCCATCAGGCAGCTGGTTCCACAACCATCAAATCTCACAGAACTGGACAGTGCTATTCGTCAGGCATGGTGTCATATTCCTCGCATCACCTTTCAACGTCTCATGGAGTCAATGCCAAGAAGAATTGCTGCAGTATTGAAGGTAATCTGGCCACTCAGTGTAGATGGTATTCATAAATGGGTGCCATAGTTTGTTAACCCTTCCAAAATAAAAAACTAGGGAAATGAGATTGCCCCTTGGAAATTTTGCAATATATGCAAAATCAGTGCATAAGTCTGAATAGTTGACAGTTCAGCAAAGCTGATGGAATTTATTAACATTTAAAGCAAGGCTCAGAAGGAAGGACTGGGAATCTCAGAGGCATTCCACATGGAAGCATTTGCAAAGCCCATAATCTCCAAGTCCTATGCCTGAAGGATCCCCAAGGCGGAAGGTTGGATAGATTTTCTGTGAAGGAGTGTTAGCTTTCTATTTTCATAGGCACTTTTGCCTTTACTTGCAGATGTGGGTATGAGAGTGTTTAAAACTAATGCCTTGGGTACCCCTGGCTTCCCTTGTAGCAATTACATGCTACCCATGCACCTCTGCTATTTATTTAGAATTCCATGTAGGCCAGCCTCTAGCAACAGTATGCAGTGGTCACTTAGAGGTCGAGTATTCTAGTCCCTGTGGTCATTACTTCTTATGGTAAATTCATAAACTGGTATTTGAGTTTTGGATCTCAGTTCTTTCAGCTTTGAAGATATGACCCTGCTGAAGGGATACACCTGTTCCTTGTGTTGTCAAGATCGGCAAGACCTCAGAGTGTGGGGGATAATCAAGACAATACATATCCTCTGGAAAGGGTTTTTTGGAGGGTAGCTGGCAGCGTCCTTTGGTGGGACAACCAGTATCACCTTCTGGCTACATTAAATATTTTAAATGTCCATCCTAGTCACCAACTAATTATTCATCGCATCTCTTTCCCGTTCCAAGGTGTCTTTGGTTGGATATTCCCTGAAGATGCCACTAAGATGAATAGTTCTGTGCAAATAAGGTATTTGGGAGGTGATTCGGGAATCACCAATAGAAAAGTGGAGCCAGGAAACAAGAAGTGGGGAAAAGCCAATAAATTATATCATATCAAGCAACACTGAAGGCAACTAGGCCTAATCCCAAAGACACAATTATTCACTCCCATCCTCACAGAAAAAGAAGATGTATGTTTATCTCCTTATTCCCATTTCTTTTGGCTTAGGGCTGCTTCCTGGTGCACCAACTCCTAGCACTTGCAGCCTGAGGAGAATGTCCTCAGGTGAGAATCTCAGGGTTTTTGGGTAGACCTGCATAGGCATGTCCTAGAAAAGGGAATGTCAGAAAGAGGCAAGGATGAAGAGTGGGGCAATCAATAGCCTCTGCTCTGGGCGGTAGTTCATGGAAGAATAAAGCATAATTGATATACACAAATGCTTACAAATGACTGAACATACCTCTAAACGAAAGCCCCATTCACTCACAGTGGTAAAAGCAATGGAAGATTTCAGACTTGGCTCCCACAAGGGCAGCAGAGGAAAAAGAAGTGAAGGCAAATCTGAGCCCCATTCTTACTTCCTACATTCTCTGGAATTGGAGGGGAAAAAATGACTGTAGCTATTGACTCCCCCAAACAATGCTAAGTCAGATTCGAACAGTCTAGTCTTATATTTGCACAGTAAGTACTCGCTTCAAGTCATGGATAGGTTCTGAGACATGAAGGGAAATGGTGAATCATGAAAACAATTTTACCATAGGCTAATTGATAGAAACAATACTTAAGTTCCTAGGCGTCTGATCAATGTTATAACAAAATGACATTGAATGAAAACAAAATGCTATATTCTGTTTCATTTTCCTGCAGAAATCAAAGCCTGGGAGTCTGCCAGCTTAGCCAAGTGTGGTGACATTAGAACACAAGCTCAGACTTCTCCTCAATATTCCCAATGCAAGTGATATCACATGTATTTACATTTCCCAATTTTATTTAAGACTAGGTGCACAAATTCATACACCAGTGGGGTCCCTTGGCCTGGCCTGTGGGATCAGACCAAAACCAGCTTTCTGACATCCCACAAAGGGTCCCAGATTGTGAGAGGGCACAGGGTAGGCCAAGGGACCCCACCAGTGCATGATCAGGGCCAGGGAGAAATGTGGGAAGTTGGCCAGCCAGGGAGGGATCATGGGAGGGCTCCAGTATGCATCTGGCCTTTCTCCCTCAGTCCCCATTAGCCAGACTTCAGCAACAAGCTAACCTACCAGTTGGATCATCTGCCCCCTGGTGGTCAGTGCACATCATAGTGAGCAGTTGAATGGCCTTAGCATATCATTAGCCGATTACACTTGATTGGTTGAATGACCAACCAGTTGACTGGACACTTAGCATATCAGGCTTTTATTATATAGGATTCACTCAAGACTCCCTTGCTCTCTCATTATCAGTTATTTGGAGGAGTTTCTTTCTCTCTTCCCTCTTACGTTGCAAGAACTCCTGGCAGGGCAAGAGGGAGGTGAGACTTATACAGACCTGAAATGGCTCTACTGAGCATCAAAATCTTGAGCAGAAGGAAGCAAGATTACTGAATGTGTGCCTCTGCTGCCCTTGCTCCTTAATGCTGTGTGAAACCTACCTCTTCAGCTCTAAGCTATAATGGAGTGTCCTTGTCCAGCTCTCTGTCCAGAAGTGTGGCTCTTAGGGGACTACAAGCCCTCACAGTTAACCTGAGTCCCAGTACTTCTTCACACAGTGGTCTTAGGCCACAGGGCCCAGCTCTGACCTGGACTCCCCCTGCCCTTTACTTAGAGATCCTAGTAGGTATGGGTTCCTCCTCCCCCCCCCCCCCCCCCACAAGCCACAAAACTAAAAGTCAAAAATGCTCTTTACTTTCCTGTTTTTGAATGAGAAAACCTAATTGCTTCACTGAAAACTGAGTCAGCTTCTTCTCTCTTGGTTATTTTCAGCTTTCTTTTTTATTTTATTGTTAATCCTTACTTGAGGGTATTTTTCCATTGATTTTTACAGAGAGTGGAAGGGGTGGGGAGAGACAGAGAAAAAGAAACATGGATGTGAAAGAGGCACATGGGCTGGTTACCTCCCACAGGAGCCCCAACCAGGACTGGAACTTGAGCCTGCAAGATGTATGTACCCTTGTCTAGAATCGAACCCAGGACCCTTCAGTCCACGGTCTGATGCTCTATCCACTAAGGCAAACAGGCTAAGGAAACTTTCCTTTTGAGGTCTACAAGTTCATAGGCATACGTAAACACAAATTCAGAAAGAGAGAAGTAGAAAAAGCTGACTCGGTGACGAGGGGATTGGGATGGGACACCAAGCCCTAAGGTTACTCTTCATTCCTAAAAAAGCACAGGCAAGCATCATCAAAGACTTCTCTGTTGCTAAACACAGCAAAAATAAAAAGTTCTAGCCTAGCATCCCACCAGAACATTTCAGAAGTTGTAACTGTTTACTCGTTGGAGTTTCTAATTGATGTATCCTTGTCTTATCTGGCCATCGCCCCCATTTCACAGGCCTCTGATTTCAACTGGTCTTCAAGTCCCAGATGCCCACACCCCACACCAATTCTCAACAGCTAAGATCACCATAGTCAAACTGTATTGTCCATGTGATACTTAGAGATGCAAAGAATTCAGAGAGGTTTTCTTTTAGATGTTAATGCTTTGGAGTGTGCATTGTGTTCCCCATATCCTCTGCTGAGCTCATTCTGATGCATCTACTGTGCAGTGGGTGATGCTTCCATTGATAGTTCTAAGATCATTTCAAGAATCTCACTGAAGGCTTTCTGGCTGTCTGAACCATATATATATATATATATATATATATATATATATATATATATATATGATAGAAATATTTAACATTTGTTTAGTACAGTCTCTTTCAAATCTCAATGAAAAATGACTAAAGGAGTTTGTTAAATCACATCTTGAGATTCAAATCAGAAGGTCTGGTATAGGTCTCAGAAATCTGAAATTTTAACGACTTGCAGATCCAAAGGGTTAGACCACTTTATGCAAAATACTTATTTGGTATCATCTCTGTGTTAGGCAATTTGCTAAAAGCTTTGTAGGTCTTATTTTATCAAACCATCACATCAATGCTATAGCACAGCTATTACTATCTTTATTTTACAGATGAGTAAATTCAGGCTGAGAAAGAAATTAAAACCCAAGGTCATTAAACAAGTATGCTAAATCACAGCTTCAAATTCATTTATATCTAGATGGTTGTAAAACCAAACTCCTTTCAATTATGTTGCATTATAAAATAAATTCTAGTGTTAAGGATATTTTAGTTCTAGCAAAAAATCGCAATTCTCTATTAATATATCTTAGTTAAAAAACAACCTGATGTCTGGGTTGAAGACTTAATCCCCAGTAGGGGGTGTGAAGGAGGCAACCTCAATGTTTCACTCTCACATTGATGTTTCTTTCTCTCTCCCTCTCCTTTCCTCTCTCTCTCTGTCTAAAATCAATTTTAAAGTTTTAAAATGGAGTCTTTTAAAAAATAATAAAAGGAAAAAAACCCTACTCTTTAGTCATAATTTATTTATCAATCATGTTATTGTAGTTAGAAGATGAAGTGATAAAAAAAAAAACCCTGGATAATAATGACTTGAAACAATTCCGCTTCATTTTTACTTACCCTCACACCTGTCTTGGGTTGTGCTAGGGGTTCTATTCCATGTCGTCTTCATTCAGGAACACAAAGCCACTACAATCTGGCTCATCACTGCTCCCTGTGGCAGGGGAGGGAAGTGAAGCAAAAAGTTACCAGTTTTTTCTCCCATTTCATAGCATTAGGAGGGGAGGGAGGAGCACTTCTGCTGTATGCTCAGAAGACAGAGAGTTGGAAATATTTGTGAACAGCACAAACATTCGCAACTACTAAAATGAGTGAAAGAGGACCCGGGTTCAAGTTCTGTTTTTACATTGTGCTAACATTATTACTTTAACCAAGTGAATAAATCTCAATTTCTTTATTTCCTAACCATGTATGATGTTTATACCACAGGGCTGTTGTGAGAAGCAAATGAGATTAAATATGTAAATTCAAGCAGCTATGTGCCTGAAGCATAATAGATGCTCTCACTGAAACTAATTGAATTAGAAATAGCACTTTGCTGATTATAGATACCAATGCATGTACCAATGATGCCTCAAATTCAAGTAGTTGTTACTGGATTTCCACATTTAAATTCAGATATGGTTCTAATGAAACTTGGGAAATCACTGTGAAGGCAGCAATGAAGGCATTAATTTGGTAGAGTGAGGAGCTGTCAGAGGCTGGGTTCCCCAATAAACAGCTCTTAGGAAAAACATTTTTTTATTTTTTTTTTGCAGGTACAGAATCTGAAAGGCATATGGAAAGCTGGATTGCATAAGAAGAAAATTTGACTTGTGATGCAATAATAACAGAACCAATTTGTCTGGGAGCTTTGGAGCTGGGACAGCTTTCAGGGATGTTTTGGATGGTGGCAAGGAAGGCAAGCCTACTCTGGGAACTATAATCAGGCAATACTCAGTGCTCCTGGGGAATCTGGGAGCCTGCAAACTTCAGGATCTCTGAGCAAAGTACCACAGGATCCACATTGAAAGCAACCCTGAAGCCCTGGCTGGTTTGGCTCAGTGGGTAGAGCGTCGGCCTGCAGACTGAAGGGTTCTGGGTTTAATTCTAGTCAAGGGCACATGCCTGGGTTGTGGGCTTGATCCCCAGTGAGGGGCGTGAAGGGGATTTTCTCTCATCATTGATGTTTCTATCTCTCTCCCTTTCCCTTCCTCTCTGAAACCAATGGGGGGGGGGGAATATATATATATATATATATATATATATATATATATATATATATATATATATTTTAAAGACAGATTCTCATTTAAAAAAACAAAACAAAAAATAAATAAATAAAAGTAATCCTGAAAATGGAATAGGCTACAAAACTGGGATAGGCTACAAAAATGGAATAGGCTACAAAAATAGGCTTCTAAACTGTTACAGCTTTCCCATTATTGTCTGGACACTGTTTCTTTCACATTTTTACAATTTTTATACTGAAAAGACACCCCACACAATTGTTTCCTCGGGAAGGAGAACACATAAAGGAGGCTTATGTTTCGCAGAGCACTAAGGGTGTATGACGGTACATCTTACCCTTGCAGGCGCCTCTGTGTTAGCAAGCCCAAGGACACTCCAAAGAGGCCTAAAGAACTCTCCATCATCGCAAAGTGTCTTCCAAATAAGGTCACGGTGGACTATAAGTAAAAACAAGATGTGAAATAGTATTTATCAAGTGTTTTCTAAAAGCCAAAATCTTTTCACAAAGTTTATCTCCCATAATCCAGTTTTCAAATATTTATCATCCTTCTCTGATGCATGAAGAAACTGAGGCTTAGAGACGCTAAGAAAAATGAGAAGGGCTTAATCTGAAATGTGTCAGTCTTCAAGGCTCCAGCTCATTTATCCACATTAACAAGTCATTGGCCACAATATTAAATTCTTATAACTAACACAGGAGAAGCCCTATAGTGTACAGAAAGGGAACAGACAGAAGTTTAGATGCTGATTCTATCAGGTACTGACTCTATGTATGACATTTGTAAAGGGCTTCATATTTTTCAGCTCAGATATTTTATCAGAAAGATGCAAAAGACATAAAAAGACAGCAAAAAAAATGAAGAAGTAATATTAATTTTGTTAAATATTGTATCTGAGATACATACTAGTAAAATAACCTTCTAGGGCAGCGGTAGGCAAACTCATTAGTCAACAGAGCCAAATATCAACAGTACAATGATTGAAATTTCTTTTGAGAGCCAAATTTTTTAAACTGAAAATTCTTCTAATTCCACTTCTTCAAAATAGACTCTCCAAGGCCGTGGTATTTTGTGGAAGAGCCACACTCAAGGGGCCAAAGCAGTTTGCCGACCATGGTTCCAGGGCCTTTCAGATGTAGCGTTACATAATTCTTTAAATGATGAATTCAATTCACATGCTTAGATGAATTTGCCGCTCCTCCTCCCCAGTCTGCTTAGAAGGAAACCTAGGGGAGCCCTGGTGGTCCCCCCCCAGGAGCTCTGCCTGGACAGGGGAGGGAAACATTCTGCCTCAGTGGTTTCCCTGTCTGTACAGTCAGCCTGGCCTCGAAATGTATGTGCTCAGGCGGTTACAGACAATCAAATCATCCAATACCCTCCTTTCGTTTTCCCAGAAAAGCCCTGGTGATAATTCCAGTAGACTTCTTCTTCTCCAACTCCTTTTTTTTTTTTTTTTTTTTTTTTTTTTAATCTTCCTCTTTTTCCTGACCCATTTTTGCATGGGATATTTTCTTCAGCAATTGAACAAGTTTTAATTAAGGCTGATAATTCTGGGGTGCCTTGCACATGCTCCCTGATGAGTAGCATATAAATGGACACAATAAACAGACCTAATATTGAGAGAGTCTACAGCTGCATCTGCTAATTAGGGCCAATAAAGGCTTGTGGGGCAAGAGTTCCCATGTGACGTTTGTTTAATTAAAGCCTTTGTCTGCCCTACTCAGAAGGGTGAAAAATATTCCACTTAAAATGCACTGAAAACAAACATAGCCTTTAGAATGCAGAACATTCCACAATAATCCCTCCTGGGCTCCCAGAAGGAAACTTTTAGGCCAAAATAATATATATATGTATATTTTTATAATACATACAATGCTTTTGTTGTCATTTTAATTAAACCAGTTAATCTATTCTATTTCCCAATCCACACATATACATAGGAGTAAGTAGGTCTGGCCAGTAAGCTCTAAGTTGATTAGGTTCAGCTATAAGGTGGGGAGAATTGGGACAGGGACGCTGGGCCCTACTGGCAGAATGGACCGTTCATCTATTACCCTGTGGATGATAAGCTCATTTTGACCAACTATATAATTGTTTGCTCAATAACAGGCTGAGTTTTTTACTGTGGAAGTTTAGTTATCTGTTACAGGTCAAGGAATAAGATTCATTGAAACCGGATAGTAAAGTGGAGAAGGCTTTAGGCAGAAGACAGAAAGTGTGGCTGGGGTCCTGACTTTGCCATGAATTTATTAGTCATAGTTGCTGTATCTATAGAAACTAAAGCATGATATTTAGGGAGGACTTCAACTTGCTTGTTTTCAAGGTTTTGCTGGTTCAATTTATTTGATTACACTCTTTAACTAAGGGAATTTTTTCAAATATGGTCCATATAAATTGCCAATTTTTAAGTAATTAACATAGGAAAGCAAATTTTAATGAATTGGTAAATAGTTCTTTCATGACATATCTTGTAGGGTTCTTAATATATATATATATATATATATATATATATATATATATATATATATGACATTTAATTTACTATGAAGAATTTAAATTATTAATAAATTATGGTTACTGGGAATGCATAGAAGGTATTGGCAATTAGAACTCTAGATGAAAGGTAGACTTCAATCTATATAGCCATCCCTAGTTCATGATTTAGCCCTACATTCTGCTAAAAACAATAAAGATTACAGAGTCTTAATTCAAGATGCACTTTATTTCCTCTCTACCTTTTAATGTTTCTAAAATCAAGATGCTCCTTCAAATCAAAGCCCAATGGGGCTAGTCTACATTGTAACAGGGCTCTCATTGTCTACAGGTATGTAAATTTAGTTGTGTGTGTGTGTGTGTGTGTGTCTGTGTGTGTGTGTGTTGAGATAACTTTTTATCTGACACTCATCTTTTAATATGCCAAAGGTTAAATTTCCACTTTTAACTTTGGAAACTTAATTGTTACTAAATTTGTCTTCCATAATCTTATAGTTGGAAGCAATATTGAAAAAACAAAATTATTCTAAATTTTGACACTTTCTTGTCACACATAAGTCAATAAATAAAAGATAGCAAATTTCTAAAGTGTCTCAGGACAGATAATGAAATAGTCAAAGCAATGACAAATTGATCTGATCAGGTCACTTGTGTGAAGAACTTTGACTTCTGACTCAGAATTCTGTCTTTATAGACTTCCTTTTCTCTTTTCTTTCCTTCTTTTTTATTCCTTCCTTTCTTCCGTGGCTCTCTCTCTCCCCCCTTCCTTCTTCCTTTTTTAAATAAGTGACTATTTTTAATATCTTTACACTATTAAAAATTCAGTGCAAACATAAAATTACAAAGAAGTGAAATAAGTGCCTCATCACCCCAAAATGATTAGTAATATTAGAAAAATATCAATCTAGAATTACTTATATTCATATGTTCAGATAAAGGGATAGACAGATACCAGCATATCTTGGAGTTGTTTGGCTTTAGACCCCAGCAATGAAGTGAGTATCACAATAAAGAGAGTTTTAATTTTGCAGGTGGACAGTCTTGCCTTCAATTTGCCATGAAGGAAACACCTGTGAAGCACAATAAACTAAGGTATGACTGCAGATAGATAGATAGAAATTGTTAAGATATGGGGGTTGACTTGTGCATATTTTCTTAATGTAAAGTATTCTGTTTATAGAGAGTCCCCTGGTTACATCAGACTCATTGTACGTCATTTCATGGTTATGTCGCCATCTCCTATTTATTTATAAAATAAAAAAAGTTCCCTCATTTTGACATATGTGCTTTACTTATTTATTTATTTATTTTTTACCATATTTACCACGAGTAAAGGTCAGGAATTGTTATTTTCCTTTTAATTTATTTTTTTTTACTGTTTCACTTCATTACTGCTGTGTATGTGCCCCATGTGAGTGACGGAGGTGCTTATGTAGGTGGATTCTGACTTACAATGAAAATCACATTACATCACGCTGTAAGAATGGAACTCCAATGTTACCTGAGGACCTACTGTACTTTTACTTTAACACACACAAAAAAATAAATATAGCAAATGGCTTAGTATATATACAAGAAACCAATTCTTTGTTCAAAGACCATCCATCATACCACCTGAGACTTTTTAAAAATATGTTTTTATTGATTTTAGAGAGGAAGGGAGAGGGAGAGAGGGACAGAAACATCAACAATACCTCCTGCTCGCCCCCCACTAGAAATCAAGCCCACAGCCCAGGCATGTGCCCCAACTGGGAACTTAAATAGAGACCTTCTGGTTCATAGGTTAATGCTAACCCATTGAGCAATACTGGCTGGGCCTATTTGAGCCTTTAATTCTCTGTATTCCTCATACAGTAGCAATTAGGATGTTTTAGCTTACAAGGAAAAAGTAGCTTGAGCCAAAAAAAAGGTATCCTAGCCCAGCTGGTATTGTTCAGTGGTTGCGCATCAACCCTTGAACCAAGAGGTTGCTGGTTCAATTTCCAGTCAGGGTACATGCCTGGGTTTTGGGCTCAATCCCCAGTGGGGGTCATGCAGGAGGCAGCCAGTCAATAACATTTCTCTCTCTCTCTCATCTATGTTTCTATCTCTCTATCCCTCTCCCTTCTTCTCTCTCTAAAAAACCATTTTAAAGAACATATTTATTTTTTTTTAAAGGTATCCTATATAATAAAAACATGATTTGCTAATGGACTGAATGGCCAAATGACTAGTGGCTATGGTGTGCACTGACCACCAGGGGGCAGCTCCTGCACTAAATGTCTGCCCCCCGGTGGTCACAGACTGCAAGAGGGTGCAGGCTGGGCTGAGGGGACCCTCCCCCCAGAGCACAATTTTTGTGCACTGGGCGTCTAGTTGCATTATAATGAAAGAGGGCAAATTCAGAAAAATTCCGGAGCTGCTGTGTCTCAAGAAGATATTGCAGCTAGAAGTAGAAAACTGAATGGCCTGTTTCTTTCATTTAAAAAAATAAATATTTATTTATTAAATTTAGGGTGACAGGAGAAGATTTGACTTTGAGTGGCGGGCACTTGGTGCGATATACAGATCTTATAACATAGAAACCCACACCTGAAATTTAAATGGCCTGTTTCTTACCTCTGCTCTTGTTAACCAGTCTCTCTCTCTTCCCAAGTTGAAGTCCGTCATTTAAGTTATTCATCAATATCAGGGGAATGTCAGGTCCTTGGGCCTTAAAAGGCCTGGGAAATGTTTGACCAAATATAGCAGGTCAATTTTTAAGTAGATAATTTTGTATAGCCTGGGAATGAGATTACAAATATCCAAATGACCCTTGGCAGAATAAGGTTCCCTACTCCTGGTCTACATGAAGGGATTACTTTCTCTATAAACTAAATGACAATACATCATGAAGAAAAATGTGATTAGGATAATACTGATGACGGTGATGACGATGAAGTAACTACTTGATATGCCTGAAAACATGGGTAATATCTAGCCAATGGGTTTGATGTTTAAATATTGGACAAAATCATGTATGGAAAAATCTATCCAAATTTCCAGGAAAAGGCAAATGAAAGGTGGAGTAAGTTTGCATCACAAAGGGCCTTGATTCAGGCTTAACAGAAATATCAGTTAGCAGTCATCACACACTGGCCGTGTGCCAGGCAACTTCTGAATTTAAGGCTTAAGGTAAATTGTCATCTTTTGTTGTTGTTGTTTATTTTCACTCAAATATATTTTCCATTGAAGGGAAGGAGCCTGCAACCCAGAAGGAGCCCTTGACCAGAATCAAACTGGGGCCTTTCAGTCTGCAGGCTGACACTTATACACTGAGCCAAACCAGCTAAT